TTCCTTCCTTCCTTCCTTCCTTCCTTCCTTCCTTCCTTCCTTCCTTCGTCCTTCCTTCCTTCCTTCCTTCCCTTCCTTCCTAAGAATTAATTCAGCATATGAGCTGAATTCACTGGAGTAATCTACAGGAGTCTGATATACATATTGACAAATGTTATGCGTTGATATCTCATTGTCCTGTTCACTTGTGGGTAAAGGGGGAAATCTTATTCTTTGGCTGATATGTTATTGGAGGGGATTTGGAACCCTTACTGTGGATGCAATGACATACTGATGACTCTTTTCATAAGCAGAAGTAATTTTACCTTTATAAAGATACAAACACACAATTCTGAATTAGCTGATATGGGACACCAAGTTTCTAGAATAAACACAGAAAAGATACTAAGAACATAAAAACAGTCTGAAGTAGATGGCAAGAGACCTATTTTAAACACCAGTTGGGCTTCCCGTCCATTAATCAGGTGCTCTTTTAGTGACATGCCATATTGTTAATATTGAAAGGATGGAAAGGATTGGAGCCTAAACGCTGCCTTTAAATCTGTAAAGGTCAGCCTCCCCACCCGTCCCACGCCCAGCTCCAGTGGCCTCCTTTTAGCCAAGCCAAACGTCAGGGCAGACCAGAGCCTGTCTAGAAGATACTTGAATTTCCTTGACTTGAATTTCCTACTTTTGTAACGCTACATAATTCTCCCAGCCTCGCCTGCCGGCCACAATTGCAAATTGAAGTACCGCCCCGCAGTCTAGGAAAGTTCACCGGCAGTTTACGTTTCTTCGACATAATGATCAAGTTGCTTGATTTGTTAGAGGCTTCCCTTGTTCGCCGTAAAGACTCAGTGGCTCGCAGTAGAGGTAATGAAAAAGTGGGCATTTGATTTCGGCAACGACATGGGGCTGAGTTACATTAAGTCAGGTAACGAGACGTTGGGCAGATGTGTTTTCATTGCACCATAAGTGAAACGCAGTTTTAAAAGCCTGACAACTTCCCAGAAGCAATCAGCAAAAGTTTATGACTGCATAAACCACAAAGACCCTTCCTCGGGTATTTTTTTATAAACCCCGCATTTAAACCATCTATAAATTCTACCGACTTTCAAGCTAAACTTGGGGGGACTATTAAACAGCTCTCATTCTTCAGAGACTTTAGCAAAAACACTGCAACCGTGGAAACGACATCTCTTGGGGGGGGGGAAAAAGATTGAATTGAGGACCATACCCTGTTTCTAGGGATGGGTTGAACAGAGAAGTTTAGCGAAAACTTGAACGTCTGATGGGAGGCAAGACCAGCGGGTATTGCCAAACGGAGAGGCGGTTGTCGGGGTTGGAAAGGCAGAGTCGGACAGGTAATTGAGGGAGTGGGAGGTAGGAAGGGGGGAATTCCGTGTGTTTGAGGAGGAAGCCAATGACCACCTTAGGGAATGGACCAATAAGGAGAAACCTGGGAGACACCTCCTCCCGCAAATCTCATTATTTAAGGCATGCCCTTGCCTTCTCCATTTGGACAGATCCACCTGCTCAAAGAGTGAATCAGCGTCAATCACTCAGCTCCATTACTACAAGGAAATCCTCTACTGAAATTGATGAAACTCCCCCACTTTTCAGAGGTGATTCCCCGGCAAAGTGCTTCTCTACCCAAAATCAAGTCGCAGAAGCAAATCGTGATCCTGCATGCATGTTGGAGGTAGTATAGGATGCAGGGAACAAAACCTCAGTTTTAGGATCCTAGTGAAAATGGAGTGGTTTTCTAAGAAAACCCAATGGACAGAGACAGCCGAATAGGATTCAGGGCCAGTGCCTTAATGTGAGTGGGTTCAGCGCTACAAGAGAAGCAGAAGGCTTTTTGATAAGTTTATCTTGTTCCTTATTCAGGATATGGCTTCAATAGCGACTCCCATGTTCACGGAGTCCGAACTAGAGGGGAAAGCTCTGCCCTCCGTTGTTGCAAGCTAGCGAGGTTTTATTGATGCTTGGCTTCTTCTCCTCTTCCAGGTGAAAAACCCAGACAGAGTCGGCTGTCGCCTCCTTTGCTAAAACAAGACACCCAACTGTTCTCATGCTGCCATTCAAAAGCAAGGTTCTGTGGCAAACCTCATTTGTGAATCTATTACAGAGATTAATAGATTATTTCTTCTTTTTCAACTAATTCTCAGTGGGGAAATTTAACCATATGGTAAGAGAAAATTAGAATTTCATCACATTAGAGCAAAATGTAATGAAAAGAGTCCAGCACCTGGGGCCAACTGAGAAAGACACAATTAAAGGATTTTTTTTTTTAATGAAACCAGAGAAACTGAACATCTCATAACCTTTGGTTATTCTATCACATAAGATCTGATGAAAGCATTAGAAATATTCTTCGATGATGTCATAAAAAGTGAGAAAAAGGAGAGAAAATCCTCCCTTAAAGAAAGAGCATGAAATAAAAATAAAAGTGGTTTGTGTTCCATGGTGGGGATCAGATGGGTTACACACTAGATATAGGATTTGGCTCCAAGACTTTATTGTTCCACACCAGCCACTCAGAAAGAGTGCAGAGTCACAGAATAAAGATATAAATCTTAAATAAAGTAAACATTTCATTTCACACTCAGGGTTCCAAAGAGTACTGAGATACAACTTTCTCCTAAAATGAAAGAAATCCTGCCCTTCAAAAATAATACCTATGTAGAAAGTCACACTAATAAAACACCTGTAACTTCAGAGCTAGGCGACAGAATTGGTCTCACAATTCTGAGAGGCGGGGTGTCTACTAAATTAGGAGTTTAGAATAAATTTGGCTGGCCTCCAAGTTCTCGTTGGTTAGAAAGTGATTTGAAAGTTGTGGGCGGGAGGAGGTGGAGGGGATCAACTCCCCCATTAATTAATTAAAAGCTTAACTGTTAATTGTACATCCGCTCCATATAGAAAACAGAGAGACTGCGATGACTCTGGGAAAGGGGACAAATGTGTGTGTGTGTGCGGGGGGGGGGGGAGAGTTTTGAGGAAAAGATGGAAACGTCTTGCCCAAAAGAGGGAGCGAAAGAAACGCGCTTGAAGTGAACCCCAGCGAGATAAATGGGTTGAGGCCAAGGTGAAGTCGGATGACTAGCAAGCAGGTCCACCTCCTCCTTCGCAGAAAGAGGAGCGGGGCGTGAAGAAGGTTGGCGCGGCCGAACGTCAGTCTGGCGACGGCGCAAAGTTCGCTGAAGTCCGCTGGCAGCCAGTCTTCGTGGGTGGGTGGGTGGAGGGGCGAAGTGTGCAAGCAAGATCGCCAACCCCCCCCCCCCCCCCCCCCCCCCCCCCCCCCCATCGCCGCCCCGTAATTTGCTGAAGGAGGGAAAGAGCATCCTCCTTCGCCCCAGCCCGGGCTTTTAAATGTGCTCATTGAGGAGTGAAAGTCGCCACACCTGTCAGGCTGTAAAGGCAGTTGTTGGCTTCCTAATAGGACCCAACGCCTTGCAAACATATGCGTGAAGCTGTGCCCACAGATGGCAGGGAGAATAATGGAGCAGGAGCCTTTTATAAAGCGTGAGCTACCGCCTGTCTCCTCCTCCTCCTCCTCCAGACCGGTGTGAAATGCAAACTCTCCAGACTCAGGGCCAAGCCTAGCGCCTGGGCTCGTTTGTTACCGTTTTAATCCTATTAATTAAAACGTTAACCTGATTGGGTAGAAAGCTCGGTCCCAACAGGCGAGGCTTCTTCATAATAACCTTCTCCGCGAGATAATGAGGTAAAAGACTTCCCCCGTCTGTGGTGGCGGCAGTTAGCAGCGGCGGCGGTGGCGGCAGCAACAGCAACAGCAACAGCGGGAGTACTAGCAGCCGCCGCCGCTGCTGCCGCCGCCGCCGCCGCCTTCAGCGAGCGAGTGAGTGAGTAGAGAGCGCTCCGGCTCGCTTTCTTCTTTGCCTCTTTTCTCTCTCACTTGATGGGTCCGGGGAATCTCCCGAAGGTGAATCCGAGCAAGAGAAAAGGTGCCGAGAGCCCGCTGGCAGCTCACAATGCCTTTAAGCCCTGCGCGGGCTGGTGGTAGGACAGAAGCGCTGAGAGCAAGCGAGGCGACGAGCGAGACAGACGCGCACTGAGGGGAAGAGAGAAAGAACGCGCGCCAAAGCGGCCTGCCTCCGAGACACTGGAACAGCGGGGAGAAGAAGGTGACAGGGGCAGAACGGGGAGCCGCGCTCTCGGGGAGAGGACCTCGACCCAGGCAAGCCCCCGACCCGGGGCGTTGAAGGACCAGAGCGGGGGAGGGGGCGCGGGAGAGGGAGGAGTTGGAGGAGGGGAACCCGCCGGTCGGAACTATGGAGAGGGCGCTAAACCTGCCTACAGACGAAGACTTGTTCCACAAGAGCTACAGCGCCTCGGCCAAGAGAATGGAGTCTGCCTTTCGTTCACCCCCGGGGCTCGACCTGGCCGCCCACCAGCAACAGCAGCGCGAGTCGCGGCAAGCGCCGTCGCCTCTGAGCTGCTACGAGCCGGCTGACTCCGAGGTGCTGCTGAGGGAAAGCGCGGCCGGGGCACTGGTGGCCGGGGACCCGCTGGGCGGCTCGGTCTGCGTCAAGTACGGGCAGAGCACGACCAGCCGCAGCTCGGTAGCCGAGAGCAGCGGCGGCGAGCAAAGTCCGGACGACGACAGCGACGGGCGCTGCGAGTTACTGCTACGGGGCCCCGGCGGAGGCAGCGGCTCCGGAGTCGTCGTCAGCTCTGGGGGCGCCCTACTCAAGGCGCCGGAGGGCGGCGCCTGCTCCAATAGCCACCACGGCAGCGGCGGCGGCGGCGGGGGCAAGAAGTCCAAGGAGCAGAAGGCGCTGCGGCTCAACATCAACGCCCGCGAGCGGAGGCGCATGCACGACCTGAACGACGCGCTCGACGAGCTGCGGGCCGTCATCCCTTACGCCCACAGTCCCTCGGTGCGGAAGCTCTCCAAGATCGCCACGCTTCTCCTGGCCAAGAACTATATCCTGATGCAGGCGCAGGCCCTCGACGAGATGCGCCGCCTTGTCGCTTATCTCAACCAGGGCCAGGCGATTTCGGCGGCCTCGCTGCCCTCTTCAGCGGCGGCCGCGGCGGCTGCAGCGGCTGCTTTGCACCCGGCTCTCGGGGCCTATGAGCAGGCGGCGGCAGGCTACCCTTTCAGTGCCGGCTTGCCGCCCGCCACCTCTTGCCCGGAAAAATGTGCCATTTTCAACAGCGTCTCGTCCAGTCTCTGCAAACAGTGCACGGAGAAGCCTTAAAAGAGAGACGAACTTCTGTCCGATCCCTTCGTCGTCCGTTAAAGTACTTCATTGGCCGGACTTTGCTGCAGCCACCCTGAGGGGATGGTGGTCAATAGGGGGTTGGTGTGGGGAGTTAAGTGCAACCGAGACCTCAGCGAAGTTTAACACACACGGTCGCATTTTTTTTCTCGAGAAGGTGTGGGGGGCGGGGGGCGGGAGGGTGAAATGAAATGTGACCAGGGAGAACTCGGAGATTGGGAGAAAATCTGTATGCCACATTGTTTCTTTGGGACTTCAAACTTCGGAGAACTTTTGCTATGGGCAACCAAGGTTTGGAAGATTGCTCGGTTGGGTTTCAGCAAGGGAAACAGGTGGCAGAAAGCAGACTGGATTGTAAACTCAGACAAATCAAGAAGGGCACTTAAAAGGGATTTTTTAAAAATGTTATTTTATTTCATTGCTTCTGAGCCAGAGAACATGCAAACTTGAAATGTAGACTTCCTGAAATTAGATATGTGCAAAAATTGCTCTGATATTCCTTGTGTTTTTATTTGTTCTGAACATTTGAGCCTGTGATAATGAGCAAAGTTTTGGCAGAGAGTGTTTACTTAAGAAGATGTAAAAATTGTTCACATGGCTGGAGTATTACAAGTTGACTATTATTTTTAAAGATGTGCACCTTGTTTCTTTTCACTTTGCAATGCTATGTGTACCAGAACACATATTTATTTCAGTGATCTTTTCACGACAATATTCATCCTGTGTTAAAAGTTATGTGTGCTGTTTACTTTTCAAATGCTTAAAAATCTCATTCACTTAAACTTTGTGCCAAGTGTTTAAAACATTTGATTTGCCAAGGATGTTTGAACCAGAAATCTTGATGTATCCAAACTGCTGAGGTTTATGAAAGGTCATCTGGATTTTTAAGTTGCATCATCCCTGTATTTATAAATTGAGCTTTAATAAATTGCTTCAGTCCAAAAATGAGAAGTCTTTTCTTAATTGCTGGATGAACTGGACTGTGGTAACTAAAACTTTTGCAACATGCAAAAAATGTTTTAATTACTATCACCATAAGGCACCAGGCAATAGTTCTTGTCAAGAATATGCCAAAGAAAGCTTTACCACGTTGGCAGTGTTTGGTTTTTCCAGAATAAAGCTAGGTGTTTTTTTTAATGTAGACGTTATTTTAGGTGAAAGTAGACATTTCAGTGTTTGTAAGGATGGTTACATATATTTTACATTCAGATTGATAGAAATTGGAAAAGTAAAGGCGTGTTTACCTCAAAAATATATTTGAATTACTACTGTAGATTTGTTTTCTCATACAATTCAAACCAATTGAAGCTGAAGTGCATGAATTTAAAACTGATTCAGTTAAATGAAACCCAGTGTTCCTTTTAATCCTATCCACGTCTGTAGGTGCTCCATTGATTCTAGTATTCCGCCCCCCCCCCCTTTGGTTAAGCATGCTTGGGATTGTAAGATGAAAAATAACTTTGTGACAACCAAACAGACTGATTAGTAACTAGGTTTTATTTAAGCAATTTTGTTTCCAACTGTAAAAGTAATTCCAATGAATTAAACTTGATGAAACGTTTAATTTAGAACTGGGCCTAAATCTAACTCTGTCTCTGCTTACATTTACTGTATATGGTTTGTGGCTAGGACAAATAGTGGGATTTGAACTGTTGTTGGACAGAACTGGTTCATAGATGCAGCTCTTAATAAGAATAGTTCCTGAAAACCTTTATCTTCTCTGCTTCAGCCCTGGAATCTTTGAGACTTGGTATTTGCAACTACTTCCTATAATCCAAATTTGGTCTGTCAGCTTTGAATAGGCAAAACGAATACTGTGAAAGCTCCTTGGCAGGTCATGGAGGTATAAAGAGTGATCTACATTCTACATGAAAATAGGTCAGTAAGAGGACGTCAGTGGTGAATGGTCGGTTGTATGTATATATCTGTGTCAGAAAAATAGTTTTTATTAAAATATTTTGAACAAGTCTTCATCCCACTTTTATTTGTAAGAGGAGTGGAAAAAAAAAATCAAGCACCCCCGAAATTCTTCTCCTTTGCTTTGTTCAGATACCGGCAAAAAGGCCATAGAGTCGTTCAGAAGAGCAAAGCGCCAACCTACCTTTACTCTGCATCTGTACTGTACTCAGAAGGCTGCGTGCAGGTGAGCCTTCACCCTGGCTTCCTGGAAGAGAAAAGGTTGTGCTCTAACAAGGACCGCTGGAGGGAAACCTTCGTTTTTGTCCATAGGATTGTGCTCCGGTTTCGTATGGAAAAGTTCCAGATTCTCAGGCTAAGGTGGACATACCTGGCAAAACTTTGGAAAGTGCCACAGGCGTGTGGGTTTCCACGACCTATCGAATCCCTGGATCCCATCAGATCCACATTTCCCCCAGGGAAGCGTGCCAGCCCATTCGACTAGGAGGGGGTGAACGTTTCCCACGTGCCCACACGCCTGCGGTCCCGAGATGTTCCGGGGAAGCGGGCTCAGTGTCTACCTCGACTGGGTCAGCATTTGTACCTCCCTACCGCCTTCTTCTTGCGAATGCCCTCACAGGCTCCAGGGAATGAAGGGGTGGTGGTGGTGGTGAAGAGGAAGGAAAACCGGATAAAGATTTTCTGCTCCACTTCGCTTTAAAAAAAAAAAAGATTAATTAATCAGAACCTGTAACTTTTCAGGAATAATAACTGTATAGCGGATCGAAGGTAGCCAGACCAGGGTGAGCAACTCACCCTTGGGCGTCAGGAGAAACTGACTGTCAATATTTACCAGACAAAGCTTGGGTGCGCCTGATTATGATTATTAAAACAATTTCCATGACGGTGTCTAATATTATGTTAATTTGAAAACAACTGTGTATGAAAACTGTCGACTATAATACCTAAATTCATTTAATGAAACACGTCGTTAAGGCAATTAGACCTCCTGGATGTGATTAAGGAACATAATTACGACACTGTTCTGCGCCGTAATTGGGTGTCTTTAATCAAGGGGTAAAGTGATCAGCAGAACAGCCATTAGTTTGTATTGTTCTGTTCCTGCTGTCCATCATCCTGATTAGGAATCAAACGCAGCCGAAAGCCTGCCTGTACCTTCCGCCACCAGACATCCCCACACATGACAGGCGTAGGCAGATTTAAATCTTCTGGATTCCCCCCTGTAGGAAAAGGCTGCCCTCGGTTCAAGCTTGGGTGGGGGGTGGGGGGTGGAGAGAGAATGGAGCGAAAGGCTAAAAGAAAGGGGAAAATTGGGAAGAGGGCAGGAAACGTTTAGCAAATAGCATCTTGTTCAAACCAAAAGATTCCGGGAAAGCTGCTTTTGCAGTTTCTCGTTAGAGTCTTTTCTTGGTACAGCTTTTCTCTTTCTGAAGGTTAGAAACGGGTGGCGTTATCAATTTTAGGAAGCAACTTTCTCCTCTCACAATACGCGGGAACAAAAGTAACTGTGGCAGGACCGGATCGCGCGCTTTTCTTAGCTTACGGCTCCGCTGAGTTTAGATTGTGAGGACCAGGAGAGTCCCTTAGGGCGTGAGCCTTTTCTTTTTTCCGGGATGCTGTCAACAGAGCCGTAATTTTGGGGATAGACCACATTTGCATTTCCCCCTTCGTTTCCCTTTCCCTCAGTCCTTTCGGTTCAGGTCGTTTTTTTGCAGCAGCAGGAAGTAAAAGTTAGAGAATTGGAACAAGAGAAGCTGGTTTTTCATCAGCTCAGCGAGGGGTTTCTCGCTCCCTTTGCCTTTCCTTTCTTCTCTCCTTTCCGCTAAATACTCAATGGACTTGTCTTCTAGTTGTTTTTGCGACGGCAGAGCTCAGGGTGGTGACAATTGTCAGCTGAGATAATAAATGTACCACCAACCTCTAGTTCGGTCGAAAGTTTCAGATGTGCCGGGAGAGGGGAGACAAGATTGTTCCTTTTCCACTTTCACTTCCTCTTCTTGACAATTAGGTGGGAGGGGTTAAAACCTGCCTGCTTAGGGTGGGGAGAGAGAAACCGGGAAGAAGAAAGTTTCTGATCTCTTTCCCAAAGCCTCGTTCGACGCACTTTCCCTTTTGCCTCTCCTGTAATTCCTGGCGCGTTAACTCCCTGCGTAGAAATGCGAGACAAGCGATAGCGACTTGAGTGTTTTAAACCCATCGCTCCTAACCAAGCCTAAGCATCAAGGACCCACCCGCAATCCCTGAGCCGGGCTCCAAAACGTGAGAGGACCAGTTGATCTTGTCCACCCCACCCCCCCTTCCTTGCCCGCCGCCCTGCGTGCCACCCCTCCCCATTCCCTGCCTTATTTGACGGATCACTTCATCAGAAATGAAGATTCCCCCTCAAGAGCCTCGCTTTTACTGAAGCCAACCCGCCAAACTAGGGACGCCCATCCCATCCCGACATACCCCTCCTTTCTTTTTCACCTTGGCTGCCAAGGCGAACTCCCTCCCTCCCTTTCTTCTCTCCTCCCCTCTCTCTCCCCCTCGCCCCAGTTCTAATCCCGCGGTTGTCCCAGCGTGAGTGACATTGACTTTCCCAATGTAATGACTTATGAAAGATATAATCATGTGTTAAATTGAATCCTCCGTTTAACTGTTAATGGTGTGCTCTGGGCACATTTACGTATTAGATGCTATGGTAACTAATTACCAGTAGAAAAAAGGATAATACACTTTGCAGACTTTGACAAATAATTATGAGTGTTCACATCCCTGCTAGCAGTCAGTTGCCGCGGATCTGCTGGAATGAGTAAGTGAATAAATGAAAGGATGGGTAAGTGAACTTGTGTGCACGGGAGGGATGAGATAATGACTAGCGATCAAGTGGTTTTTCTTATTAAAAATCTTTAATGAAAAAGTGATTTAGGATTGGGAGGGGAGGAGAAACAGAAGAGGAGAGAACGTGTAGAAAACGGCCTCTACGCGTCATTTCAAGAGAGGAAGTAAAGGCCAAACCGTATTTATTCTCATTTTAAAAAAATGTTAAAAGGAATTAGGCGCGTGCTAAAAAGTTTGCAGAA